AACTATAACGTATTCTGAAACGCCATCTATAAGTTAAACACTTATTAATATACGAGTAATATTATAAGTTTTACACGACTTTATTCTGTTATGTTATATAGACTTAGTCCTAGTTGTTATAAATTTTGAATGATAGAAACCGTATAACTCTTATTAAAAGTAAAAGTAGTAGTAGACTAGTAAAATAATAAAAAAATAGAGCTTTTAAATTTAATGGGCCTGCCACACAATGCTCCTTGCGCTGCTCATCGCGCTGCCGCGATGTTGCCCTTTCTGCCCACACACTGCTCTTCTCGCGAAATTAATCACGACACTCCGCACTTGTCATTTGTCTTTGCTATACAATGGACGATGAAACGCATTTTTGGTATAGCTAATTATACTCGTATCAATGTCATACAAAGATATACACGTCATCGTCGTCGTCCTCACCAACGGAGATGGTAAATGAAATCTATTCATCGCAATAGAACGCTGTAAGTATAAGTATTCATATTATTAGGAAAGAGGCTTTAAAATCTGTAGCATAGTCCCAGCAAATTTTTGCGATCGCACGATTATGTGGCCAGCCACTAGCGCTCAAAAATCCAACAAAATAGGGAGCGGTGGACATGACCACCGCTCCCTATTTTGACGTCGTCATGACGAGGAGCATAACGTGCGGCATGGCGAGTAATGGCGAGTGAAGGAGGCAGAGACGTAGTGTGGCAACCCACACTACGTCTCTGCCTCCTTCACTCATCGAGTGTGTGTCAGGCCCATAAAACAGTTATCCAAAGTTAATCATCATCACCATCATCTCCTCACCCTATTCCAAATTTATTTGGATTCTGTGTAATGAAATTTTAAATGTGGTTTTATTATTTATCTAAAATTGATATGATGCGAATATGATGTTTGTAATACGACATGACTATTCATTGGACTCGGCTCTCATTTCCCATTATGTATGAATCTATCAGTGGTTAATTAGGTGTGTGAAGACTAATTTTAATTCAGTGTGGCAATATTTCAAATATTTGAAACCTAGGACCGTTAGTTCCATATTCTTTTTTTTAAATTAGTTTGGATCTACCTTTGTACTTGATCAGTATAGTGGCTGCTACTTTTGTAAATTAACTCGCTAATAGCAATAAACAAAAATAAAATGGACGCGGCTACATTACAGAAATACAGACTACGATCGGTAGATGTTGCCCGCAACCCGAGTCGCAGACGTTTAAGCGCTGCTCACACGATAATTCTTTTGATTGTAATCGCGACTCGGTCTGCGTCCACTTCACTTTGTCATGTAATTATTATTCGTCCATTCTCAGATTACTCGCGAGAATGCCTGTGTTGCCAGTATTTCGCGGTTATTTTAAATCGACTGGCGAGATTTTGTTGTGTACCATTCAAGCACAACGCGCAAAGTAAATATTTTTTACGACTATTTGTTCTTCAGATTATTTCACAAGTGGACGCAATCATTGCTTACGTTAAAAATGTGAATAACAAAGCTAACATATATTTATGGTGTTGATATAGTCAGTATATATGGAATATGTAATTACTTACATCGTGTTTCCTTACCAATGTATGACGGGCGTGTGTAAAACTATTAAAATTTTGTGCCTAGTAAGTAAAATCACATTTTATGTGCTTTTGTGTTAAAATCTATTTATATTGCAAAAGTAAATGGTTAACTCATATCCACAGAGCTCTGTTGTTATTACAATTTTTTTTTTTTTTTTTCCAAACACTCTATATAAGCTTCAAATTTTTATGGATTCTAAGTCATAGTAGGGTTCTACAGCGCTACTTGGGAAGCAAATTAAAACGGAGCAATAGTGAAATCTGTTGCTAGAATGTGCATATACATACCAACCGAGCTATGGATATCTGATCGAAATGCTTCTATGAATGTTCAGTATTGTCATACAAATGTAACAAGTTCCACAGCGCAACTGCTAGGGTTATCATCCACATAACAGCTTGTATAATATGAAAGCAGCAGTAACTATATATTCAATAGGCCTTCAAATCTAAGCAAACGCCATTAACATTTCCCACAGCAATAGAAAGTGAAACCATAAGAACTAATGTTAACATCAGCAGCACATTTGAATGTATTTGAGTACCAAGTTGCAATTTAAGGCGCAATAAATTTCCACGAACATCAGATTAATCGAAGACGACTATTAAGTGTCACATCGAAGCGGACTCGTCGAGTAGTTGTACTTAGTGTATTTACTGCAAATTAGCATCACTACGTGTGCGGCTCAGCGGCGGCTATCAAAGGCCTCAATAAAAAGGGAACTTTACTATTTGTGAAGTTTTTTTTAAGTGTAATACGGGTGCCGGTTTCGACGAGAACTGGTCCGCGCTCAAGATACGAACGAAAGTGATTCTTTCATCAAGCGTATGTTCCTATCTATAAACATTTTATGTCAAGTCGAGCTGCTATAATATTTTACCTTATGCGTTTTGTATTGTAATTGAAAACAGTGCACATTAAAAAGTTCTGTTGGTTTGTTGAGACATAGTTACCTAGTTTTTATGTGTAGGAATGAAATCGAGTTAGTTACAATGTAATGCTTATAGATGGATGACAAGAATTTACATTTGCATTTAATGGCTTGTTGTCAATGTCATACATAGGGACAATTGTAGAATACGTGAGAAAATAACCAATCAATCAATAAAAACTAATGCAAATTCTTTTTTATTCAATTACAGTCCACCAATACAAACGAGAATTCGGATTGCTTAATTTTTTACAAAATGAACAGTAAAAACAATGCTACATTCTAGTACCAACTTTGCTAGACGCTTGTTTTATTATTCTTTTTACATTACTTAAATTTTTAAATACAATTCGCTTCTTGCAGTATGTACATACTAATAGTTTAGGTGACTTTGTTTGAATGGTCCCGAGTTAGCCTATAATAAACCATTAATTTCTAAGAGCTTATTTGATTTTTGTATGAGATAAATATGAAGTAAGATATACGTTTTTCGTTTTTCGTTTTACGTTTTGTCGTAATTAAAATGCTTGACCGAATATTATCAATTGCCTATCCCGGAAGTTTCTAAAAAGTAGAAAAAGTCGATTTCTTACGCATGAAAGCCTCATTATAAGCTGAATTGGAAAGTCTTTTCAACTTTTTAGTTTATATATTAACTAATCGTGTGAGGACCTACGTAATGATTATTGAAATTGAAAGATTCTAAACAAGCGATTTTTATTATTGACATGTTTCGCAACAATTAATTCAGTAGCAGTTAATCTTCAATACTGGCTGATTCAAAGAGTAGAATAGAGTAGACAGAAGTGGATTGGTATTATGCGAGTCTTGGAAACCTTTGGCAATGCTTTAATGCGTTTATACCTATAGGATAGTAAATTTACAGTGAATAGATTTCAGACAGTTCTTGGATATCCGTTTTATTTCCACTGAGTATACTAAGTTTAATCGAGAGAAAACGCTTTATAACTCTCTGCATTTCATTGTCAGTCATTGAGTAGCATGAAACCAATACTCAATCTACGAACTGACAGTGTTTTTTTAATATGACTAATGTTTTAATATTTGAACAAATTTGACCACCCGATACACTGTCTTAACTTACACTTACATACATAAATAGGTACTAAGACCACTTTTTTAATTTTGTTTAGAGAATAGATTTTGTTAGAAGAGGAAGAAGAAAAAAAAATAGGTTGATAATTTAAGAGGAGACGGAGAGGAAAAACAATATTATAAATAAATAATAAAACGTCATCAACGTGCGTGGGCGCACTGCCACAGTAAAAATTAAATTAACTTTTTACAACTAAGCTTTGCGTAAAATGCATGAGTTATTATTGCGACTGAGAAGTAGAAAACATTTGTTATTTCATTTGTAAAAGGAGAAATAAAACGATTTACTACCATACTTTATGTAAATATTCCATTGTACTTGGTGCCCCTTATATCGGTCGTCTCTTGAGAACGGTGCGTTTTCTATAGCGCGAGTAGTGTTCGATTTGTTATACTGTTTTGCCTACTGGATAGTTCTAAAACACCTCATGAACGGACTCTGTTATTGCTACAATTGTCTTATGGTATAGTCTGTTTGACTAGAATAAATCCGAGGTAGTAAATCTATATAAGTAAAGACAACTACACTGAAATAAAACACGCAACCACTATAACATACGTAACTTAGGTCTCTTATCGATACGATTTCAATCATATAAATATTCAACATACTGTGAGAGGTATGTACTGCGATACCTCATTTTCTTTTAAAGATAACTCCCGCATTAGAAATATTTCCCGTGTCGCGGGGGATTTTACAAACAAACATGTAACGGACACAGAGAACTCAGAACAAACATTTTTGGAACACACAGTGTTGTCCCATGTGGGATCGAACCCACAGCATTCAGTGCAGTAGAATGTTATGCGTTCGATCATCACTACGCCATCCGTGCAGTCAAATCATTGTTTGTCTAAAATATCCTTTCAATAATTTCATGATTAGAATGGCTTACATAATTTATACGAATTAGCTTATAGTTATGTTTATGCGATTAGTATTTAAGGCCTTTGTAGAAGTACAAACATTGATATTTATTTAGGTTTCGTACACAGCTGTTCCCATATTCCACACTTTATTCAACTTGTGGAATAGTCAGAGTAACTAGCTTAAAAACTTCATCCCACTACAATCTTATGACCCTTCAAGACACTACGGGCGCAAATGATTGCACAGATGGCGTAGTGGTTCAAGCTGTCGCCATGCCGCTTCCTATTACGCCGAGTGTTGTGGGTTCAAACCCCACATGGTACAACACTTTGTGTTATCCTCAAATTGTTGTTCCTAGTCTGGGTGTACTTTGTGTCCGTTTCATGTATGTTTGTAAAGATCCCCGCGACACAGGTTTTATTCCTAGCGCGGGAGTTGTGTGTACATTATGACACTAAAATTTTAACCACACGAAAATATTTATTTGATATGAAAAATCCACTTACTTTACATTTCATAGCCAACACCAGTTGGTAACGGTGTGCCGTAAGAGCATCTTTGTAGGAACCTTGGCTAAAATATGCAGCTCCCAGGTTCCCATGGGCGCGGCATTCCCCCGCCGTGTCTCCGAGAGACTTCGCTACTGCCAGATCTTGCTGCATATAGTTAATGGCTGCGTCAAGTTGGCTGAGAGCCCAATGTGCTGATGACAATGCGCTGAAGACTGAACCTCTGTGAAAAAAGAAAATATTAGGAATCTTTTAGAAAAAATACTAGATAATGTATCTGTGAAATGCAATAATAGCTAAATAAAATTTATCATGTGATTATTTCCCTTCGTCAATATTGTGCCTCTACTATAGTTTCCAAGTGGCAAAAGCTGCCAGCCTGGAAGCCTCAAGAAACTCTCTACTATTTGTGTATACAATGATCTGCGAATGATTTACATATTTGAAATGATAATTGATACCTGTTGATAATACCCTTTATTGTCTTGTACACAGATTTTTATAAGTGAGGATTTGGAGTTTGAATCTGTTTTGTTGACTGCTTTTATTCTGATCATCATAGCTGTAAATCCTTCATAACATGTAATAAATGAATAAATAATTAAATAAATAATTTATTTATCTAGGACGGGCCTGTTGGTCTAGTGGTTAGTGACCCTGACTGCTAAGCCGGAGGTCGTGGGTTCGATTCCGTCCCAGGACAAATAATTGTGTGATGAGCACGATCATTTGTTCTGTGTCTGGGTGTAATTTATCTATATTATGTATGTATTTATAAATATGTAAGTAGATATGTTTATCAGCAGTCTGATTACCATAGTACAGGCTCTGCCTAGTTTGGGATCAGACGGCGATGTGTGAAATTATTATATTATATTATTATTATATTATATTATATATCAATTATCATCATAGGTATCAATTATCTTATTATATATTCAATTTTGTATACATATATCGCATATTGCAGCATAACAAACGCTTATATAAATGGTGTACTGATACCTATGGGAAAAGATTTACTTATTTTCTTTCAGTTTTTGAAACGGAAAAAGTTATATAAAATGGAATTAAGACATTTTGTCTTGAATTTTTGGCGTAAACCCAGAAGGTAGATGATGGAAGCTCATTGGAAGATAGATACGAAGCAATTATAAGGAACTGTAAATGTTCTATTTTCCCCGGTAAAATATTTATTTATACTAAAAACTGTTTAATTTCTTAACTCTTGAAAATTAACCGTTTTCCTTGGCAAAAATCCTACAAGCAAAGCTAGTATGTATAAACACATGTCAAGGGAGTGTTACAATATTTTATCGAGAATCAAACAGGTCTCTAAGATAGTGTTGAGACGTGTAGACAGTTTTGAATATTTTTTATTACTCGCCTATTGGTTAAATAGCTGGTGAACGAGCGTTCCTTTGAAATACATTTCTTCAAACACATTACGCACTCCTCGCTCGATGTACAGGATATTATGCATCATTTTAACTGGCCTCACACCCGTATAACTACTAAACATGTGATGTACAGACCAGGTTTCTTTATAACTAACATATAAACAAGTAGATATTCACGGTAAGCTTTTTAAGGTTGATTTTATAGAATTGGAAAGGACAGATTCTATTTGCATTGTTCTTTTATATATCATCATCATCAACAACAGCCTTTCATAGTTCACTGCTGGACATATATCTCTTTTTAGAAAGGAGGTATTCACAAAAAGAAAGTATCTTATTATGATGTTAATAGCTAGATATGACGTCACGACTTAGTATTTATTACAAAAATGTATCGTCTATCGTTTTGACGTTTAATAAAAAGATTTGACTTTACGGTGTCGACCCCTTACCAAGAAAAGGTGAAATAACAAAAGTAGGAGACGGAGTGACAATGAAAGTAACAAGAAAGTAGTAATAAAACAAACTGGTTTGGATCTACTGGGTACATTCATACCTGAAGGACAGACCTGTCGATCTGGTCATAGTTAGTGGTTCGATTTCCACCGAGAACAAATATTTTATTTATTTATTTACTTATATAACGTAATAACGAGGTGATACGATAAATTGTATCTTCTTTGTGGTGAACGCACAAACCTGTGTCTTTCTTGGGTTGAACAGGACTAGATTTAGTCGGCCCCAATCCGAAACCTCCGCAACTCATTTTGAAGAAGATCTTGTACTCGTACTTTCTTCTTGAACGTAAAGCGGTTAGTGGACATCCTGACTTCAACTGGGAGCGCATTAGGAATATATCCTGTGTCGAGGGGGACTTTTACAAACCTACAATATATATATACAAACAAACGGACACAAAGAACACCCAGACTCAGAACAACAATTTGTAGATCACACAAAGTGTACTCCCATGTGGGGATCGAACCCACAACACCCAGCAAATTGCAGCTTAAACCACTACGCAGTCAATTCTTAATAATGTAAGGTGATATAATTTTAAGAGTACTTTAAACAAAATTGAATCAGGCAAGTTTAATGGACGCCTCGTAAAATTTTATGGACAAAAGATACACTTATTTTCAATAGTTTTATTAATTGCCCTATTATATTAAAAACAATTTTAATGAGGTTAGTATCATTGTTATTGCATGGTCTAAGCTGCAACAGGTAGATAAATTGAACTTCGACGAACAAGGGGGGCTCGCATTTTCAAACTTGCTCCAAGAAAATTCACAACTGGTCTGTGAAAATAATAATTATTTGATTATTATCTATTTGTTTTTAAGAGTCATAAACGTACCATAAAATGTAATTAATATTTTATTGACAAAGGGCTTAGTAGGAATTAATTATATCTTTGAATTCCTATCACTCACTAAAGCTTATAGAAACAGCAAACATGAAAGTAAGTAATTATAATTAATAGTAAATAATGAAATTAACGGTAGTTTCGCAAGAATTCATACACCTGTTATTATAATAAATAATTGCCTATTAAAACACTTATTTACTAGAAGTTATTACGACCGAACAGTATATATTGTGTTGTCTTTAAATTATAGAATTGCCACACCTTTATACTCATAGAAGGATTATTGTAAATACAACCTTCACTATATTAAGTTATTATTAGAAAAGATACGCGTCCCGCGGTGTTACCCCGGTGTTTAACAATGTGTTAAACAAAAAAAAAAGTGTGATGAGCACGATTATTTGTTGTAATTTATCTATAATATAGTATGTATTTGAGTATGTTTATCACCAGTCTGGATACCATACTCGTAGTACAAGCTCTCTGCCTAGTTCGGAATCAGACAGCAGTGTGAGATGTGTTAAGTTATTATTGTTGTTATTTCAATCACTATTTTTTTTCGGGATAAAAAGTAACCTATGTATTAATTCAGGGTGTCAGGTATGGAGGTATCCATACCAAATTTAAACAAAATTGGTCCAGTTGATTGATCGTGAAGAAGTAACAAACACACACTTCACAAACTTTCGCCTTTATAATATTAGTGTAATTAAACTAACGGAATAACACATTGTACATGTACTGCACGAATGGCGTAGTCACTAGTGGTTTAGGCGGTTCCTACTGCGTTGAGTGTTGTGGGTCCGATCCGATCCGATTGTGTGATCCACAAATTGTTGTTCTGAGTCTGGGTGTTCTTTGTGTCCGATTCATATATGTTTGTAAAGTCCCCCGCGACGCAGGATAAGAAAGAAAATAGGATATTTATAATAGTGAAAATAGTAATTTGGAGATAAACTCTACTGTGGTACAGGAGAGCCATTCTTAGGCATACATAGGCACGGCTCGACCGGTGTAATACCATGGTTTGACAGAAAATCGGTGTTAGGTAATTCTTCCGTTGTTTTTCACCATATACATAAAATATAATAATAGAGCACAGCAATCCCACCTAACCCAATGCTTTGTGGTGTCCTACGGTGTGAGAGAGATATCACTGCATGTATATAGGGAACTCAAAAAGAGATAGAGAGGGCCTCTGCGTGTACGATCTCTTTCGCAACGTGAGCTTCCCTTACGTGCTCTATTTTTATATTATCTCTACGCTTTTCACTGAGTGAGTGAGGTTAGCGGAGCTCAAACAGGTTTCCCGTAATTCCTGGGAGGAGGGGATTCCCAGAGCGACACCGTACTTGGGACTTTTGAGTTGCAGGTGTCACTATCAGGTGACCCGTCTGTTCGTGTGGCCTCTATACCATAAAAAAGTTTTGTAAAACACCTTAGTTCGGTTAAAACTGTGAAAATAAACTCTCACTCACTACCAACATGCCTAGTGGTTGAAGAATAGGTTTATATTGTGTCAATCTGAATAAGTTAAAACTTGGTTCAATAAACAGTAGGAACGGTGGCTCTTTAGGTTTGCAATGTAGTTTTCTAGAGTGAAATTTTTTTTTAAATTAGTTTGGTGGTTTAGGCGTGAAAGCACAAAGTAACAAACAAACAAAATCCCTTTCATATTTATAATGTAAGTATAGATTTTTTTTTTGATATTTTTTTAAACCGTGGCATGCCAGATCCAGCTAGTTCGAAATGAAAACTAAAACTTTTCAAATTATTCAGTCTTGAACAAATGTCACTTTTGTCAATCAGTTGTCAGTCAACACACAGTAAAAAGGTGATAATTGTAAAAATAGGTAGTCGTTTCAAATTTAAAAAAGGAAGAAATAGTAAAGAAAGTTAGATTAAGAAGTAATGTTCCAAAGAGTCTCATACACATCAGTTAAATTATTATTATTCGGAATAAACAATCCCTTCACGTTACTAACTAACCATAGAGTTTTAACTTTACGCTTTGCTAAAAAAGCAAACTTGCCAATATCAAAAGGCATTTAAAGGAATCCACATGGTAATTATTTACAACAGAATCTCTCGTCCGGTTTTAAGTCTGTTCCATCTTAAATAGCTCGTGTGAAACCGATTAAGTTAATCTGAGATAAATATTTTAATTTCTGCTGATAGTAATGAATCACGCCGCCCGATGTAATTTGACATCACACTTTACGTCTCCGCTTTCATCGATTCTTGAGGTGTAATCTGTTTAATCAATTAGGACAGATATTAAGATAAGGACGTGCTCAAGGAGGATGTATAAAGACTGAAAAATCAGACGACTATATCGATAGAAATACCTTGAAAATTATTGTAAAGGTTTATTATGAACCCATTGTTCTTCTCTGGGAGTTGCCCTACGTTACATTCACAGTTTCACAGTTTTCTGTCTATGATCCTTAT